AAAAAAAAAAAAAAAAAAAAAAAAAAAAAAGTAAATAGGATTCATCGCGCAAAAGTAGATACCATAGGCTCACCATAGAAGCGTGCAAAATATGTAAATAGATGGTTTCACGTAAACAAGGTAATTTGGGATAATAAATTGTATATGAATCTTTTTTTTTTCACGGCCATCGATCTCGGTACGCCTCTTACGAAGGTGTACGCATACGTATAGTAATAATAATAATTCTTGCAATTGCGTAAGAGATAAATTCGCTACGAACACAGAGTCTGGTCATGCAAATAATGGCCCGGGAGAAAAGGGTTTTGTCGGTGCTTGGGTGACTTGAAAAAAAAAAAAAAAAAAAATCGAAAAGTAATAATAATAATTCTTGCAATTGCGTAAGAGATAAATTCGCTACGAACACAGAGTCTGGTCATGCAAATAATGGCCCGGGAGAAAAGGGTTTTGTCGGTGCTTGGGTGACTTGAAAAAAAAAAAAAAAAAAATCGAAAAATCCAACATCCGCAATAGCGAGAATATTCGCGACCTGTCACCAATGGACATTTTTGTATCGTAACAGTCGTAAGAACAAAGTCAAGAAAAAAAAAAAAAAAAAAAAAAAAAAAAAAAAAAAAAAAAAAAAAATGAAAAAGAGAAAAGGAAAAAAAATTTGACCAAAAAAAATATACAAACTATCGAAATACAGTATGTGAAATTTCGATGTATTCGGCTAATCAAATATGAATCGGCTAATATCAAAGGAAAAGGAAAGTTTCGAAAGCGGCGCCAATAAAAGTTCCCTCCATTGAGACGTTCTCTTTTTTTTTTGCAGATCCGTCAGACGATTGTAATTTGAAAAAAAAAAAAACTTTATTTTTTTTTTTTTTTTTTTTTTTTTAACGAAAATCAACTCCATTTACATTAACTCGTGATCGCTAATCGAACTCATCGGTACTCGTGTCAATTGTTAGCCGAACTCTCGGTTCAAATATGCCGTCTGACGTATCCTCGTCTCAATTCCATTAAATTGGACTCTTCACCCAAGCATTCGAGTCTCGCCAAACGCTAACCGTCGCTGTGCTCGGTTCATTTGCGTGAACACGTTCGAAACACACACATTCACTCACTACTAAAAGCTACGAAAAAATTGTGGTCCACGCAACAAACCAACAGGCAGCGCAAAGTTAGCGAGTAATGGCGCTCAATATATAGATATATATATATATAAAGGGGTATGTTGAGGGCGATGGGCATAGAGGTCAATGGGGATTCGTAAGCTCTCAAATTAATATATTCTACTGCAAATAAGTTCAACACTATGTTCAACTGCGACTCCGCAACCATAACGACAGCCGCTCGATTAAAAGCCTTTTTGCATAACGCGTGTCAGATCGTGACGTAAGGATAGAGAGAGAGAGCGAGAGAGAGAGAGAGAGAGAGAGAGAGAGAGAGAGAGAGAGAGAGAGAAGACAATACATTTGGCCGGTAAGAAGGAAGCACATGTTTTCTTTATTTTTGAATTTTTTTTTTCCAGAATTATTATTATTATTCTCTCTCGTTCGCTGCCACGAAAAGGGAGGGGCGAAAAGAAAAATAAAAGAAACAGATGGGATGGATGATACGAGAAAAAGATTCCTCGCGAAAAGTATCCGCGACGTCTTGGAAGCTTTGTCGCTCTCATGCATATACGTAACACGACTTTATAATGAAATCGACATACAGCGACATCTGCGGGCTTATTGCGCAGAGACTTTCGTCCTTTTCTATCCTTTACCGTCTTCCCCTTTAGCTTCCGTCGTGTCTCTTTTTTTCCCTCGTCGTCGACCAACCGGAAGTGACGCCTGTAACCCGCGGAATCGCGTTCGCGACTCAAGACGTACGTTCGATGCTCGCGACAAGAAAATCCTCGAAAAAATTTTTTCCGAATTTTCCGATAAAAAAAATCCACCCTTATCAAAATCACGGCGACATAAAGTCCCACGTAAATACGGTATCTTTGACCCTCGTGAGGAAAAACCGTTCGATACTCGGACGAAAAGTGCTGCTGAAAGCGTGATAACGAAAAATACTTCAGGGCGTAATTTCCAAAAAAAAAAAAAAAAAAAAACCAACAGCAAAATCTCTTATCAGGAATCAAACCGTGTGATACAAAACACGAACTATAGCGTACGGCATTTATCGGCAATATGTATAAGTGTGCGAATGATAAAAACGATGAAAAAAAAATAGTACATGATAGGAACGAATAGAGGAAAAGGGTTAAAAAAGACAGTGACTCGAAGTCAATGTCTTAACGGGTTGTGATACGCGATAAAGAAGCGTGCCCCTCCTTCGTATTCTCGTTAGGCAAAAGTTGAAAAGGCAAAGTGACAACGGGTTCGATAGTAGCATAATAATAACAATAGTAATAGTAATAAATAATAATAATGATATAGACAGACACCAGGTAAGGCAGTGGTTATTCGCAGTTATAGTTGCGGTGAGCAGTCGTGAGGGAGACGCCCCCAAAAGCTACGTGTTAGCCAAGATTAACGAGGGATTCGGATGAGGTGCGATTCGCTCTATTTATTTTTTTTATCGGTAAAATGATAAATAATTTGGGAAAGCATGCTTTTGCGTGGAACGAGAAAAATTCTTATCGATGTGAAACAATGAGAGAATTTTATTACAAAAGCGATCGGACGTATACGTATCCCTTTTTAATCTTGCGTGTTAGCGGCATTAAGGTTTCGGGCCTGCATCGAGCGCGCTAAATCATATCCAATTGATTGACAATAATTGGACGTGAAGAACGAAGGTAGGGGACAAGGGGTGGCTGGTTTCCAGGGGACCGGAGTGGGGATGCAGGATGGGTAAAGTTGGAGGGGAAGTCTGTAGGAAGGTTGGGTAAGGGGGTAGCGGAGGGTGAGGAATAAAACAAAATAAGAAAATGTAGCCGGGTAGCACAGGTGCATGGAAGTGCGCATCGCCGTGAGCAAAACTTTTTGGCTAGACTGTAGATTTCGTACGGGTAAGACGTGTACTATACTTTGGCGAATAGAGGAAAAGTTTGTAGAACGAAAAGTGAGATTTTCACATGTAACGTTTCGAGCTACAATGTGACCCGAGTGTAATATGAGAAATTTTTTGAAAAAAAAAGAACATTTTTTTTTGTTCCGTACAAAAATGGCAAAAAGTTTTTCTCTTGGCGTTGTAGTAGCGTACACTCCGTATAGCACTGTTGGATATTTCTATTAAAGGATAGATAGGTAGATATATATGTGTTAATCTACGCGAAGAAAAGATGCAATGCAATGCAGGCCCGAAACTGGATAAAAACTGGTTACAATAATGAGTCTACCTGTCCGCAGCTGTCTGTGTAGACGACACAGTGAGCGTTTTGGGGGACCACGTGGGCCCCGACAGTGGCTAAGGCTGCTAAGGCGATCCACATGCAGCAAACGAGGCAGTGTTCGTACGGTATATTGGTATACAGATATATAGATTTTGTTGTTGTTGTTGTTTTTTTTTCCCGGAGCATTTTTTTTCCGTTTGACGTTCCGTAGGTAAAATTTTTTTGTATAATTTTTTTTATTTTTTGTTTTTTAATATTTTTTTTTGTCGTTCGGTTTTCGATTTTGGTATCGTTCGTTTTTTTGCCATTTCAGTCGAATTCGGTACGAGACGCACCAAATTTGCGCAGGCGCACAACGTTGAGCGTATTTACCCCACACGCAGCACCCAGGTACATGTCCAAAATGTTCCGAAACGTGATGATGATGTTTCATTTAGCACATCGTGGCGTTTCGCAGATGCGGAAACGACGTAACGTGTTCTCATCGACGGACAAACAAATATGTATGAAATATGTAATAGTAGCAGTGTAGTAATAGTAGTAATAGTAGTAATAATAATAAGTGATAAAAACGTAAGACGATAGTAACAGACAAAGAGAGCAAGTGAAATGAAAATTTTTCAAAAATTTTATGAAATTTCCGCGTAAGGTAACGAGATGAAATTTTTTCGGGGAATTTTTTTTTGCGACAGAAACGTCAAGCGCATCGATATGTTTTCATGAACGTAGACCATTAATGAGAATGCATTGATTTACGATTTGACATTAGAGATTTGGAAAGTATACAGTTAAATTTTTGTCGCAACAAATTTTTTTTCGTTATATCATGCCGAAATCGACCAACCATGTACCGGGGTGTTTTTTATGTTCGTTTTGATTTTATGTAAATTTTTTTTTAAATTGATGAGTGATGGGCGGGCATGGCAATAATGCGGCGGCAGTGCACACGTACCAAGCCAGCGGTTAAAAATATCCAAATATATATATACGTATATATATCAATCAATATAACAATATATTAGAATTAGGTGATACAGGATAATAACGAGAGTAAATAGACCGCCAATCGAAGGCCAATCAGTCAACCAATCAATCCGGGTATAGAGGCAGATAGTAGAGCACATCCACGACGTCATCCAAATCGACCACCCAACGGTTTTTGATTATTTTTTTTTTTATATATTATTTTACGTTCATTCGTAATTCCAAGAGAAAGAATGATATTCGGTGCGTGTGACGTCACAATGACGCGATAGATACACGTGCGCCGTTATTAAATACGTATGCATACGAAGCATAATTTTTTTGGATCCATTTTTTTTTTTCAAAAACCAGGCGTGATCACCAGTAGTGCGGTCCAGTGAGTGTCGTCGCAAAAAAAATAAGACAGCCCAACACCAAAATATTCATATTTTTTTTTTTTTTTTCGTGTCGTACGACATGTGGCAAACGAGAATGACAATTTGATTATTTTTTTTGAAGATGAATAATTTAACGTGAATTTGCCAAATCAAGGGTGTATTCTCGACAAACCCGTTCGTGACGGCAGCATTCGTAGTATCGAAAGAGTGAAAGAAATATAGAACGGAGACACAGAGAGATAAAAAGTTTGTTGTTTTCATAATCGCAATGAAAAGTCGAAACGGAGGACATTTTTGGAAGATAGGCAGTGAAGGTTCCGCACAATCGCCACATAGTGAAGTAAAGAACGTAATACGTAATAAGATCCAATAAAGACGCGCGTGATGATACGAACGCAGAGGATGTTATCGTGGAAAGGCCCAGGAGTGATAATTTCCAAGGATCAAAGAAAACAGGTCGGCATGCGAGTGGTCCAGTGGGATGCAGGTTTGTTGGATTTTTGTGGTTGGCGGTTTTTTTTTTTTTTTTTGTTCGGGCGATAAGCGTTGGCGGTGTTCATAAACAGTTCATTCGGTTCAAAGTCGTGCGGCGTCCAAGGCGTAGGCAGGCATGAAACAGAAAGTTCAAAGAGAGATCATGAATGAACGTGAGTTGCGTGCAAATTGCGGCATCTTAATGGCGTGTGTCATTAATCCCGTGTTCCTCCTGTGTTTCGCCGGAAGATAGCAGGGGGGTCCTACGAAACGGAGAGGAGCTCTACACAGGTCCAAGAAGAGCGAGAGATATGTCGACCATCCAAATTTTCACGGGGTAACGATACGAAATGTATATATTAAAAAAAAAAAAAATTTCGCATCCCATGAAAATTCTCGCCAAGATCCATGGTCAAATTGTAATTGACAGTTGACAGATTTTTGACAGCGAGGATATCGTCGTCCTCGAGTACGACTGACATCTTATACGATATGATCCCAAACCTCCTCCGATGCTAGACTTAAAAAATTTGTTTGGATTTTTTTTTTTTTTTTTTTTTTTTTTTT